ACCCCGTCATCCTGGCCACGGCCGGCTACGACCACACCGTGCGGTTCTGGCAGGCGCACAGCGGCATCTGCACCCGCACGGTGCAGCACCAGGACTCCGTATCCTTCCCGGGGCTCGGGGCGCCGCGGGGCGGGCCCGGCTGATGCTCCGTACCGACCTTAACGGCGGCCGCAGCAGGTGAACGCCCTGGAGATCACGCCGGACCGGAGCATGATCGCAGCCGCAGGTGAGCACGCCCGTCCCGCCGGGCACGCCGGGCACACCGGGCACGGGGACGGCGCCCACGCCCTGCCCGGTGCTTGCAGGGTACCAGCACATCCGCATGTACGACCTCAACTCCAACAACCCCAACCCCGTCATCAACTACGACGGCGTGAGCAAGAACATCACGTCGGTGGGGTTCCACGAGGACGGGCGCTGGATGTACACGGGCGGCGAGGACTGCATGGCCCGCATCTGGGACCTCAGGTGGGCACGGGGGGCTCCCCTCCTCCAGCAGTGTCCTGGGGCTGCGGGGCTGATCCCAGGCTCCCAAACATGCCCCTTCCTCACCGGCTGTTGCAGGTCCCGGAACCTCCAGTGCCAGCGCATTTTCCAGGTGAACGCTCCCATCAACTGTGTCTGCCTGCACCCCAACCAGGTGAGCAAACTGGCTCCTTCCGTGGGCTCCCAGCACACTGAATCCTGTGGAAGGGATCTTCAAGTTCACCTTGTTCCAACTCCCTGCCATGGACACCTTCTGCTATCCCAGGTTGCTCAAGCCCCGTCCTGCCTGGCCTCAGACACTTCCAAGGATGGGGCAGCCACAGCTCCTCTGGACAAGTTGTTATGTGGCTCCTCTGGGTAAATCTGAGGGGCTGCAGAGTTGTATCTCAGCAGAAGATTTTGGGAGGGTGGCTGGGGTGGGTGACCTTCCTGGTGGCACAGACCCATGGTGGCACTGCAGGACGGGCAGCAGCCTCCTTCCCACCCCCCATCTGCCCCCTGCCTGGCCAAGCTGCTGGTGCCAGGAGCTTTGGGTGGCACTGCTGGCAAGAAAAAGCATCTCAGGGCCCACAGCCACGATTCCCATCAGGTTTGGTTGAGATCCACCAGTGGGTTCAGCAGCTGTTGCTGAGCAGAGGGAGGGCTGGGGCTTGGAATGAGACTGAAGGGAATGTGGTGCATTAGCAGGGAAATCAATAGGGATCATTGCAGTGCTTATGACTGCTGGGCTGCAGGGCTGTGGGTTTGCCTGCAGACAGGGCAGCACAGACCTTTGTAAAATGCTGAGTAATGGAAGTGTTCCTTTGCATTTCATTTGGCAAAGGTTTAATTTTGCAAATTGGGAATTTCAGACCAGATTTGAGATCAGTTATTTGGACCAGACTTTACCCAAATGCTCCTGTGGTATCAGTGCTGTGAAAATATGTTATGGTAAAAAAAAAGTATTGCTGCACATAGGTCTCAGATGGGAAATAATTACTGACCAAAATGCTGCTGAGGTGCAGAGTGTTGGTTTGTGAGCAGAACGTGGTTAATTAGTCCAAAGGTGGCAGCATTTCTTCAGATAGGTCCATGGCTCTGCAATTCCCTCTGCAGAGACGCTGCTCCAGTTATCCCAGATTCCTCATGGCCTGGGTAAATCGTGATGGCTTTAGGAATTGCACTTTACACCTGCTAAGAGGGGCTGAGGATTAAAGTGCCCAGGAAAGGCTTCTGTGCAGTCAGGTAAATATATCAGCGGTGTTTGTCTTCCTCAGAACAAGGCTGTGCTCCCAGGCCCAGGGTTAGCTGTGCCTGATGACCTGATCTCCTCTAGGGATTCTGCTGGAGTTGTGGGCAGTGCAGGGCTGTCGATAAAGCCCTGCCTGAGTGGAGGGATGCCAGCATTGTCTTCTGCTCTGAGCGTGGGATCAGAGCCAGGACTCTGCCCTTCAGCTGGCTCTTGTCCTTCCCCTGAGAAGGCATGAGAGAGAGAAAAAAGCCAGTCCAGGTTGTGTTGTTCAGGTATCTGTGCGCTCTTGAGTGCTTCAGTTGTTCACTGGCCAACCTGCATCTAAATGCTTCCTCTCAGATGTGCTGAAAATCACTTGGCTCCTGTAGATTTTGTTTGGAGCTGTAGGTGTGCAACAGCTCTGGAATTCAGGCAGCTGCTGTGTGCTCTGGGCTTTATAAAATTAACAAACACTTCTGGGAAGGGAAACAGCCTTTTGCAGAGTGTAACAGGAGTCAGGACTTGGCTTGCTCTCCGTGCAGCCACTGTGTGGAACAGCCCTGTGCTGGGGAAAAAGGAGGCGGAACAGGACCCCGATGCTTCAAAGCAGAGCAGGACTCCCCGTGGTGCTGCACGGGCACGATCAGGGTGTCAGCTCAGGGCTGCTGCTCACGGGGGGCTGTTCCCTTGCAGGCAGAGCTGATCGTGGGTGACCAGAGCGGTGCCATCCACATCTGGGACCTGAAGACCGACCACAACGAGCAGCTCATCCCGGAGCCCGAGGTGTCGGTGAATTCTGTGCACATCGACCCCGACGCCAGCTACATGGCGGCTGTGAACAGCTCGGTGAGCTGGGGGGCCGAGGGGCGGCACGGGGACATCCGGGCTGGCTTTGGGGGCACAGATCCCACTGTCTCCCCGCAGGGAAACTGCTACGTGTGGAACCTGACGGGCGGCATCGGCGAGGAGGTGACGCAGCTGATCCCCAAGACCAAGATCCCGGCGCACAATCGCTACGCCCTGCAGTGCAAGTTCAGCCCCGACTCCACGTGAGTGTGGGCAGCCCTCTCCTCCCTCCCATGGGAAACACAGGCCTTCCCGGGCAGGCAGAGCCCAGCTGTGCCCCCAGCTGTGCCCCCAGCTGGGCTGATGCTGGCTCCACGCTGCAGGGCCCCAGGGAGGAGGCAGGGGATGTGTCACCACGGGGTTGCTCTCAGTCGTGTCCCACTCGTGCTCCCTGAGCTCAGCAAGGTTTGCAGCCACGAGCTGTTCCTGCAGCTGGGATCCCACTGCTGATCTCCAGGAGCAGAGTGTGGGCTCCTTCCTGGAGTCTGTTCAGCTGAAATCTCATAAATCAGACAATACAGGTGTAAGGAGATGTGAGTGAGTGCAGTGAAGGCAGGTCTCCAGGCCATCACTGGCCAGGCCCATGGTGAACAGAGGCCTGTAGGTACACAGTGTGACTGACAAGGTCACCCTCACATGGCTCCTCCTTGCAGGCTCTTGGCTACCTGTTCTGCAGATCAGACTTGCAAGATCTGGAGGACTTCAAACTTCTCTCTGATGACAGAGCTGAGCATTAAGAGCAACAACCCCGGGGAGACGTCTCGGGGCTGGATGTGGGACTGTGCCTTCTCTGGGGACTCCCAGTACATCGTCACAGGTGAGGCACCTGGGCCGTGCCAGGGCCCTGCACCAGCACAGGGCCAGCCAGTTCCTGTGGCTGGGACATTGCCAGACTTGGGCATGGGTGTGGGTGGGTTGGGAGCACCCAGGCTCACCCCCCCAGCACCTTCTGCTGAACTCCCTGGAGCATTCTGCCTGTGCTGCAAGAGACACCTGTTTAAACCAGAGAGGGGGTCTCCAGGTTGCAGTTGGTCTCACCTGGGATCAGTGCTGCTCTCAGTGTGCAGCGTGGCTGTCCCTTCAAAACAAACCTGTGGTGATTTCCACAGTCACTGCTCTTTATTAAAATCCCAGTTAATACAGAAATGCACTGAGCTGCTCTGCCTTGCTGCTCATCACCAGCCCTAAGGATGGTGATGAGTAAAGCAAGAGGAAACTATTTCTAATAATAATAGTAAAAGAAGAAGTTTAAAATGTAATGATATACATCCCACTCCTTTTTTCACTCTTTGTTTCAGCCTCCTCTGATAACCTGGCCAGATTGTGGTGTGTGGAGACAGGAGAGATCAAGAGGGAGTACAGTGGCCACCAGAAAGCCGTGGTCTGCCTTGCCTTCAACGACAGCGTGTTGGGATAACGGGCACGTGTGGGAAGGAGAGGAGCTCTGTGTTTCCCCTTGCCTTGCAGTGACAAGGACCCTCTCCAGAGCCAGGACATGCACTGTGCCTGTCCCCTCCCTGATGGAGAGGGCTTGGGCTCTGGCAGAAGCAGCTGCAGCTGCCTGGGGTGAGACCAGGCTTCAGCTCTGAGCAGGACATTGCTGAAATGTGTGTGGCCTCTAAGGGAGGGAATGGGACAGGGAGACACAATCCCACTGCAGGGAGACAGGTACAGTTGAGCTGGAGGAATCCCTGTGGCATCAGCTGCTGACAGCTTGGTATGTTCTTGTACCCCAAAGTGGGAGAAAAATAAAAATGAGACTTTCTAAGGAATGGAAGAGGCTGAGCAAAGAGGAAAGGCAGCTCTTGTCTTGGTTTGCAATCCCTTTATTCAAAGTGTTTCATAAAGTGACTTGGAGAGCTGCTCTCCTAAAGCCAACCACCCCAACAAATGTAACCACCTTGTGCTGAGCAGGGCATGGAGCCCCAGAACACCAGCTACTCCCTGGGATTCCTCTAGGCCTGGGGCTCCTAATTGCTATGGACATGGCAGCCCTGGGGCAGAGCTGCAGGGACTGTCTGTGCTGACAGTGCTGAGCAGAGGCCTCTTGTTTCTCTAAACCCTCCTGAGGTGCAGCATGAAATCAGCAGGAGGCTCTGGGGATGGTGGTGTTACCTTCCTTGTGGAAATCAGAGGCTTTTCAGGAATCCAGTTCAAGTATGTAGGGCAGCAAGAGGGTGTCCACAGCTCAGCACTTACTCAGGGAGGTAATAGAAGCAGATAGAGACACAGATGTTGCTTGGAAAGCAGATGTCAATGCACAGGTAGATCAGCCGCTGCCTCCCAGGACCTGCCAACAAGCAAGGACAGGAGCGGGTGAGAGGAATGCTTGGATGCTGCAGCTGCGACTCCCTGGGGAGCCAAGCAAGTGGAAAGCCTCAGGGAATGACCTTCCTCATTAAAGCTGGAGCAAGACAGAGCAGACTGACAGCTCGGCAGGCTGCTTGTGGTGAGGATGAAGGTGACAAGGATGAAGGCAGCAGTGTCCCAGGGGACAGCTCTGTGTGCTGGCTGTGCTGTGCAGTCAGGCTGTGCTGCCCGGGGTGGGGGCTCGGAGCCCATCCCAGCCAGGGCAGGGTGTGGGTACGAGCCAGCACAGGGGGATGGTGAACAATGGTTTGATTTTGCACTAGAGGTCACCTGTCCCTGTCCTGGGCCTTGGCAGACTGTCCAGGGATGCATCAGCTTTTGTGCAGCAGAGCCTGATCCTCTTAGAGGTGTGAGAAAAGCTTGTGCTTCCCCTGCCAAGGGGACTGTCCCACTTACCCTGCCCTCTGCGGACCCAGAAGATGGATGTGTGCTCACACAGGCTCTGCACAGCCTCCCCCAGGCCCTTGGGCTCCACCTGCTCCCCCGGCAGGATGCCCAGGAACTCCCGGTAGTACTTGGTCTGGTTGTTGTGATGGAGCAGCTGCTCGGCCTGAAAGAAACATCCCTGTTAAATCCTCCCAAGGCACTTTGTCCATCCTGCTCCACTGACCTGCTCTGCCCTCCAGGGCACCCTGGCAGTGGTCTGTACCCTGGCAGCTGGGCAGGTTTCTCCTGCCAGCTGCCCTGTCCCACAGGAGTGGGGATATGGATAAGCCCGGGAGCTGCTGCTCTGAGCTTACCCGGAGCCCAACCTGGTGGGCACAGCCCTGCTCCTGTGCCAGCCCCCCTGGCACGAATTGCAGAGAACAGGGGGCTGACACTGCTCCCCTCGGCTGGGAGAGCCCCTGCCCTCCTCCAGCCACACCTGGGGTGCTGGTGTGGGGAGTCACCCCTGCAAATCCACACAGGAGAGGGCCTTCAGTGAGCCAGGACCCTGATCAAAGGCCAGTCCATCCCCCATCCTCACAGCTGCCCCTGCCATGGCCACAGCAGCTGCTCACCCTCTGCTCAGACATGTTGAGAGCTGCCTGCAGGGTTTGCAGGTCCCAGGGGTCCATCCTCCTCAGGTAGCACGTGCTCTGCTCCACGGGCTTGTAGCACACGTAGCCCTGCCAGACAGACAGCCCTCAGAGCGGGCAGGACATTCCTCCTCTCCCCTGCATTGTCTTTCCTGACTAAAGGTGCAGAGAAAGGCACCAAGCAAGAGCTGGTGGGTGGCCCACGCCTCCTGCTCCCACTCCAGCAGCCTGGGCTGCTCTGCTTACCCCCCCCCAGCCTCAGGCACTGCTCTGCTCACCCCCCCAGCCCAGGCACTGCTTTGCTTACCCCCACCCAGCTCAGGCACTGCTCTGCTCACCCCCCCACCCCAGGCACTCACGTTCCTGCTGTCGTACAGCACCACGGCACTGAGGTTGCTCTGCGAGGTGACATAGTAGGTGACAGTGCTCCTGGACTTGTCCACCAAGGCTGTCTGATTCCTCAGAGGGTCCTGCTGGCCCTGCAGTGTCAGTCGGACGAGCTGGGAGCCAGCCTGGGCACAAGGAGCAGAAAGGCAGCACCCACCAGCAGCTGCTCGTGCACAGCATCTCCCACCAACATCCCCCCTGGGCCCTGTGCTGGTCCCTGCTGCTAGCCTGGAGGATTTAGGAATGGAGAGAGGGAAGCTCTGACCCACAGGAAGGATGATCTGTGACAGGCTGATCTCCATCATGCAGGGCTGGGGAGAGGCACCAGTGCCCCTCATGCCAAAGGCACCAGGTGCTGGAGGACAGGACCAGGGGACTCCCTGCCACTGCCACAGCCCTGCCTGCAGCCTGCTGGCACCTTCCTGCCTCCTCCAGGATGGGATCCAGCCAAAACCAGCCCTGATCTCACCCCGCTCATCCCTCCTGGGAACTGCTTCCCACAAAACCCAGGGCCGTGGGCAGGAGGAGCTTCCTGCCTGGATCAGGATCCCTTACCTGGGGAGAGCTGGGAGATAAGCTGAGAACCCCCACGACACTGATGCCAACAACTGCAAATAATATCAAGGCAATGGACAGGGTGATCCAGAAGGTCCTGGGGGGAGCTGGGAATCGTGCTGTGGCCCTCCTGTCCTGGGAACCGGGCAAAGGAAGGAGGAACAGGAGTTAAAATTGACCCTTCTGCCAATTCTTCATCATCAAACACGCTTCCTGCTCGTGACACAAATCCTTGTGCAAACTGGTTGCAGTGCAGAACAGCCAAACCATCACAGCACCTGGAATAATGGAGCTTTCCTCCCACAGTGCTGGAATTCCAGATCCCACATCCCAGTAACCAGCACTGCCACAGCCAGAGAAGCTGCAACACCCCCAGGGCAGGGCTGGAGCGGCAGCTTTCCACACACAGGGAACCACAAATTAAATTATTTTGGTTTACAGCAGAAGTCCCAGAGGAGCCATCAGCACTGGAATCAGACCCCATGTGGAATGATCCTGCTTCCATGCCCCTCCCTGTGTTTGGTTGTGTTGAATTTTCTTGCTAAGTTGTTCTCCATGAGACCAAGCAAAACAGCTCAGCAGTCCTGTGACACTTCCATTGGCTCTATTAATTTACTTTAATTCTTATGTTAAAGCAATTAAATTTAACTTCATGGTACATAATAGGATTTTTACAAAGCAGAAAATGTGCTTTCAATAATCTCAAACACAAGCCACACTTAAAAAAATTAACATGTTTCTCAGTTCTCTGAAGGACAGAGAAATTCAATCCATGCCCAGGGTTAGATGTGCTCCAACTGCACAAGCTCATCCAGCTTTGGGGCAGTTACAGATCTTGACTGGAAATAGAGAACTTCCAGATTATTCCCCCAGAAAAGCAGTGAGTTAAAACTGCACATATCTGAAATCCTATTGATTCCAACAGAGCAGAGCCCCAGCCCTGCAGTAACTGGCAGGTTTTCAATAGCTAATGGAATTCCCTCAGGTGGGAAAGGTGCAAATAGAGCAATCCAGCAGCTCCCAGCCCTCGGCAGGTCACGGCTCACACTCATCCCGAGTGTCAGACCAGGCTTCCTTGGCACCTCTGACCTGTTACCCAACAGGTTTAACCCCTGTAAGTCCAGGCGCTTCCAACCTATCCAGCTGACAGCCTCGCAGGAGCTGAACTGGGAGTGCTGGGGAATGAATAAAACCTTACCAGGATCCAGAGGAATGGTGGGATCTCAGCCACTTCAGAGCAGAATCAGGCAAGCACAGAGCAGGGGCTCTGTCTGTGATAGAATCATGGAATCCTGGAATGATTTGGGTTGGAAGGAACCTTAAAGCCCACCAGTTCCACCCCACTGCCATGGGCAGGGACACCTTCCACTAGCCCAGGTTGCTCCAAGCCCAATCCAGCCTGGCCTTGGACACTTCCAGGGATGGGGCAGCCACAGCTTCTCTGGGCAACCTGTACCAGGGCCTCCCCACCCTCACAGGGAAGAGTTTCTTCCCAATATCCCATCTAACCCTGTCCTCTGGCAGTGGAAAGCCATTCCCCCTTGTCCTGTCACGCCCTTGTCCAAAGTCAAGTCCCAGAGGAAGGACAGAGCCAGCCTTTGCCCGGGATTTGCTGGGAACAGGGATACTCACTGCAGGGGCAGCAGGGCTGGCGCTGTCCCCACCCTCCATCCTCCTCTTCAGGCGAGGACCTGGCTGCTGCTGCCGCTCTGCCTCCTGCCCACGCGCAGACTGGGCATGATCCCGGCTCCAGGCACACCTGGGAAACCTGAACGTGCATCCCCCACACATAAACAGCCGTCCCTCACACCGAAGGGCCCCGCGGGAGCCGCAGGTGTGCCCGGCGCGGAGCCCAGCGCTGCTGTCAGTGCCCGGCGCGGCCCTTCCGCTGCCCCTGCGGCACCACAATCGGGGGCTTTGTGCGGCCCCGGGGCTGGCAGGGCCGGGGGGGCTCACTGAGGGATCGGATGGCAGGGGACAGGGGCAGCCTGCCCTTGGCAGCAGCTGCTTCCACCTTTCAGCAGCACTTTGTGCTCCGCCGAGCGCCGATGCTGCTGCCCCGCACAGACACCCCTGCCCCGCCGGCAGCCCTCGCTCAGAGCCCGGGCAGGGCCCTGGCACAGTGTCACCCTCACCACCCACGCTGCCACCCGTGTCCTGCCCTGGGAAACACCCCAGGGAGCAGCATTCCCAGATCACCAGGTCCTGTGCAGTCCAGGAGCCCTCAGAGCGTTTGAGACCTGCCAGCCAGACACGACCAAAGTGTGGAGGCAAGGAAAAGCTCTGAATTCCTTCAGGTGGTGTCTACCCAGGGAAAGTGCAGCTTTGGGACATTCTCCTACCAAGCATGACCCAGGGCTGACCAAACTGGCTGAAAGAGAGCCCACAACAAAGCTGGAGAGGGACTTTGGACAAGGGCCTGGAGCAACAGGACAGGGCAGAATGGCTTCCCACTGCCAGAGGACAGGGTTAGACGGGATATTGGGAAGAAACTCTTCCCTGTGAAGGTGGTGAGGCCCTGGTACAAGTTGCCCAGAGAAGCTGTGGCTGCCCCATCCCTGGAAGTGTCCAAGGCCAGGTTGGATGGGGCTTGGAGCAACCTGGGCTAGTGGGAGGTGTCCCTGCCCATGGCAGGGGATGAAATTGTGTGATTTTTAGGGTCCCTTCCAAACTGCATCCCTAACTCCCAGGATTCCCACTGCACAGCTGCACCAAAGCTTGTGGAGACAAGACCACAAAATGACACAGTATCAGGGAGAGCACATTTGAGAGTTTAATGGGAATTCAAGTAGAGGATTAAAAACCATTTGGAAGCTGATAGAGTGTTTTGAAGCACAACTGACAGCGCCACCAGCACATTCCAGCATCCCTGAGTCCAGGCAATGGCTCCCTTGGCCAGAGAGAACCCTCGGCAGGGCAGAGCTGCCAGAGGGAGGCTGGACCTCTCCTGGCCTTTTCCTGACACTAAAAGCACCAGATACAGGGACTGAATCCAAAGACACATGGTTACATCAGACACGACCTGCAGTGAATCCATAATGTCCATTTCCACATTATCCAGATCCAGGGCAAGTTCTACCTGGGTGACTTCACACAGTCCTTCCAGCTGAGACAGGAGCAGGGAAGAGATCATCCACAGTTCCTGCCACAACTCCAGATTACAAACAAACACCCTTCTAAAGGATCAGCCAACACTGTGGGAACTCCAAGACCCTCCGAACTGCAGAGTTATTGCTGTACAAGCAAGGTGACAAGTTACCAAGCAGGAAATGGCATCAGCACTGCCACAGCTGGACAGCAGGACCCGAAGGAAAACCAGTGCTAAAACTGAACTGTAGATACTGGAATCTATGGAATAGAAGCGTGTTATTTGCATATATAATTTTCAATTAATTCTATAACGTAAAAGCTTTCACAGTGGGTTCAGCCAGCACAGAATCCCATGCCATGGCTGAGCCCTTTGTCACCCAAGCCCACCTGGAGACCAAACTGAAATCATCCCTGAGCAAGCCAGCCCTCCTCACAGCCCCACCGCGCCTGGTCCCCGCGGAAGATCAGCACCTCAGGGTGGGAAGGAAGCACGTACCACTGTCACACTCAGGAGCCCCCACCCATCCAGGGACTGAGCAGGATCTGGGGTCTGCAGCTAAAGCCAAAGCAAGCAGCTGTGTTGATGCTGAGGGAAGCACAGAACTCGGTACGGATCGATCTGGGTATTCCTGGGAAGCAGCAGGAGGGAAGGACAGTCCTGCATGGCTACAGACTCTGCATGTAGGAGAATTATAGCTACTGTCATCAGTAAGTACATTCCTCTCATCCTCCCTCCTGGGAAACAAGATATATTATCATAGACTCTGCTTAAATTTATAATTTAAATATATTTTGCTCTGTTTTTAGGCTCAGGGAGTGCCTGTGTATGTATGTGCTGTACACACACCTGACCCTGGACAGACACAGCATGCAGCAGCCATGGTTTGGATTCGTGTGGGGTCGTCCCCACCTGTGTCACAGGTGCAATTTGCAGTGGTCAAATGAAGGAGACGAATTTGTTTCTGTGACCTGACGTAGGGCTGTGCCCTGGAACACCCCCAAACAGGGGAAAAAGAATCATCCCCAGGGCAAACACCCGCTCCACAAGTGTTTCCAAACACAACCACAGGTCCTGCACATCCCCAGAGTCATTTCCCTGAACGAACTAGGCTGAGCCATGGCCCAGCCTGGCCAGAACACAGCCCTTCTCCTCACATCAACCAGCTCCACTTCCCCAGCCCAGTCCAGAGGACTCTGTGCCGTGGAGCATCACTAACGTTGGAGAGATGTGTTTATAATTAAAACCAGCCCCAAGCCCCCAGCCCTGGGGGCCACTGTAATGCCCCCTTTGTTCCAAAGTGCATTTCAGGAGTGAGATGTAAACAGAATCATACCGAGAGGACAGAGAGGTGAGAAGCTAAGGGTTGCTAACTCCAGGGAGTACCTAGTGAGCAGGTTACTGCCACAGGGCGAGCCCAGGGGCTGTCCCCGGGGCAGGGCTGCCCCGTTACTCGCCCAGGGCCGGGAGCAGGTCGGCGATGCTGTCGACGTAGTAGTCGGGCACGAGGCTGTGCCTGGCGGGGCAGTCGCTGTCCAGGTGTGCCTGGACCTCGTCGAGCGCGGTGACGCCGGTGAGGGTGAGCAGCGTGGTGAGCCCGCAGCTGTTCCCCATCAGGATGTCCGTGTCCAGCCGGTCCCCCACCATGATGGTGCGGGCGGGGTCCACCTGGAACTCGCTGGCCACGCAGTCGAACATGAAGCGGTTGGGCTTGCCCACGATGAAGGCCTCGCGCTGCGCCGCCGTCTCCACGGCCTTCACCAGGCAGCCCGTCCCTGGGGACAGCAGGAACAGTCAGGGCCAGCACAGGGCTCCCGGCACCCACACCCGCCCAGGGCTCTGGGGACACAACAGCTTGGCTTCACAGCCACAGGGACAGGCCAGCCCCAGGCAAAGGCAGCACATGAAGCCTCTCGGGGGGCTGAATTCTGTCCCACACTGAGTCAGAAAAGGAACCACTATTCCCTGAGTAAAGGTTCAGCATGGATTATCCCTCTTTCAGGGGTGCTGTGAGGCAAAGTCCAGGCTTTGGGAAACCTGGGCTGCCACACAGAATCCCAGAATAGCTGGGGTTGGAAGGGACCTCTGGAGACCACCCAGTCCAACCCCCTGCCCAGGCAGGGTCACCTGGAGCAGGTGACACAGGGACACATCCAGGTGGGGTTGGAATGTCTGCAGAGAGGGAGACTCCACGACCCCCTGGGCAGCTGTTCCAGTGCTCTGCCACCCTCAAGGAAAAGAAGTTCTTCCTCATGTTGAGGTGCAACTTCCTCTTTTATCAACACAGCACTGAGGTGTGATGATTTAGAGCTGAGCACGGAGTCCCGCAGAGCCAGGGGACCGGGACCACCCCCTCCGCCCTCCCGCCCCGCGCACCGGGGATGGCGGCGCCGCCCTCGAGCGGTAGCCGGTGATCGCGGTTGGTGCCGACGAGCAGACAGTCGGGGTTCTGCAGCAGGTACCGCAGCGCCTGGCACAGCTTCGCGTAGCTGAAGTGCTCGTCGAAGCCCAC